GGTAGAAATTGTATGCATGTAAGTGCTGCATTGATTGAAGTTCTCCACAGTCACAGAAAATGTGTCTGGTATCCAAGTAGCCCCACTTTTCTTGATTATTCTTGGATCTTTCTAATTTGCTTCAAAGCCTATTCAGTGACCTCCAGACGGTCCAGCTAGAGTCTTGTCCCATGAGACACTCTTCTGCATTCATTCATTCAGCAAGTCACTCACTAGGGTTGTGTGTGTTATGTGCCAGAACCAATTTATAGTGGTTTTACCAGTGCCATCCTCTCACCCATTAAGCTTCCATGGCTAAGATGGGATTCAAATCAAGGTCCTCAGTGTCCTAATCCACCACTCAATCCACTGCATTTCACCCTTCACCTGGAGGGATGTACATTCCACAAGACTGGCCTATTGTCTTCAGGGCCATCCCACCCTCAAGAAAGGGATGGAATCGGAATAGTTGGCTCTCCAGCTTTTTGACCTCCAACTTCTGTCTGACATGACCAATGCTAAGAGATTGTGGCACTTCCGGTCAGAAACATCTGGAGGGCTTTGCTACCAAGTTCTGTCATTAGCAATCTTATTACCAAAGCTATAATAGGTAGAAATTCATCCTGTGAAATAATCTGACCTCAAAACCAGAGTTCCTGTGAGTCTGGTATAATTTCTGGGATGCACTAACATCAGCACAAGAACTGCGCCTGTTCCAGAGATGTCTGTGAGGCTACTGATCCAGCAACAAATGGGTCCTGTTGATAGATATCTGGACTATAAAGAAAATGAGAATTGGCCATTGTTGTTATTTATATCAGTGTCACTGAATGTTAAAATTGCTGGAAAACATAGCTACTATTGCTATGTGCCATCAAGTCACATCCATCTCATGGGGATCCTATGATTGAACCATCTCCAAAATGTTTGTCCTCAATAGGAGCTCAGTTCTTGTAAACTCAAGCCCGCAACTTCCATTAGAGAGTCAGTTTATCTTGTATTTTCTCATCTTCTTTTCCTGCCTGCTTCTGCCTTTCCCAGCATTATTGTTTTTTTTTTCAGAGAATCCTGCCTTCTCATGATGTGCCCAAAGTAGGACAACCTCAGTTTCAACATTTTTGTCTTCAGAGATAGTTCAGGCTTGATTTAATCTAGGACTCACTTGTTTGTCTTTCTGGCAGTCCAGGGTATCCACAAAACTCTTTTCCAACATCACAGTTCAAACAAATCAATGTTTTTTTCCCCTGTCAGTTTTCTTCACTGTCCAGCTTTCACACCCATACATGGTGACACAACCCATACATGCTGCTGCTAATTACTGCATCCAGAAGCTAATTTTCCCTCCAAAAGCACATACATTTAAATATAAAGCCGAGGGAATGTCTGACTGAATTTTTTGCATAGACCAAATCTTACGCCCCTGTAATCTCACATTTTAACATTTCACATTTCTGTCTTGCATTTCTGTCTTTTGACTCCACTTTGTTACAGGAAGCAAGCAAGCAAAGCGTTTCATTTTTCTTCACCTATGTGAGTATGTGTCCACCTTCTTAACCCACTTCACAAACCTGACAAAGGCCTGTGATGTTTATGTCATAATAGTTGCTGGTATTTGTTGTTTTTCTAGCAACGGCCAAACGCAGTGGCCCCCATGATTTTGATCCATATTTACTTATTTATTTATTGGATTTCTATCCCGCCCATCTACACCAAAGGTCTACTCTATTTATAAATATATATCTATTTATTATGAACAGAGGTCTCACAATATGAACAGCACATACAATTTAGGAGTGGTAAAATAATCCCACCTGCTCAATAAAATTGTGCTTTACCTGTATGTCATAAAATATTATTCATCCTGAATAAGTGGAATTTTGCAAGGTTGACTTATTATATCACACTAAAGAGGGAAATGTTTCTTAGACGGCCCCATGGAGACCATATTAGTCCCTCAAAAGGTAATGTGACGACCTTTCTTTTTAACATGCTGCTTTTAGGATTATTGGCCCTCAAACAATTTAATACTTTATTAAAACCAATTAGCATCAGCCTCTCGTGGCAGCAAATTCCACTGTCTATGTATCATGTGGGTCCCATGCTTGTTGCTGTGTGCTGCAGTGTTCACATCGTACTCTGTTTTATTTGCTCTGGCTGATGGTATCAGCCTTTCAGGATAACAGTTATGCTCACATACCGAGTCTCAAAGTCCAGAAGGGCAAAGAGAACAACAGAGAGGGGTGGTACTAAGACAGCTCTTGGAATTGAGGCTGTAATCAGCCCAGAGAAATGAGCAGATGTTGAAAGAGTTACATTTTGGTCTACAATTCCTAGCCATTCCCATCTCCACCATAAAACTTCTAAACTGGCCCAAATACTTTTGCTTAGGTTTCAAATGGATTCAGATTCCAACTGTGACTTAGTTTAGCATAGTAGGTTGCAGTTAGCATAGGTCCATCTGAATCAATGGAGCTCATAGAAGAGTTGACTCATGAAAATCCCATTGATTTGAGTGTGATTTACCAAACTAGGCAGCAGGATTTGGTCTATATGTGGCCTCATAGTACAACATACACCTGCTCTTCCAGTGGATACTTATGGCTGAAGTGGAGTCCTCACTAGTACTTATCACCATTTGTGGTTGTCTCGGGTGGGGGAGGGGGTTCTCTGTGAATTAATTTCTTTGTTTTTCTTTTCAGGGTGATGTGTGCAAAAGTTTTAATCATAAACCACCCAGATTAATGACTTGGCATTAGATGGGTTCTGGGCACTTATGTAATTTCTCTTTTGTTCTATGATTAGGCAAGTGGATGCTAGCCAACACAGCACATCACTGGAAGCATAGCTTCTTTAATAAAATACCTTTGCTTATTCTAATGCAAGCTTGTCTCCCTTTGCATGTTGTAAATAAGCTTGCTTTTGCTTTTGTGATTGGTCATCTGGAGGCGAATGTGGATTTCATTTGCAAGTCTGATTATTACAGCATGCAGCTTTGAAGGAATTGCATGTATGAAGGGGTAACATTGTAATAGCATGAATTATGACTTAGGTTTCTTTTTATAATTCAATTTGCTCTGTGATTTATGAAGGATATATATTATAGATCAACATCTCACACGAGTTCAGGTACAGCAATATCTACTGACTTGTTTCTAGATCGCATTTTGCAATTTTAGTAGTGAATAAGATGTTTTCTGCTCTGCAAATCCTTCTAAATAATTCTCTTTAGATGAGGAGTGCGCAGGACTGAAAATAGAGATGTCAGGAAGGCGACCTTCTGATCATAATCACTTTATCTCAGGAAGAGTTCTCCAGTATGGAATGGCTGAGCCGTCAACTCTTTAAACAAAGTTTAACTGAAAAGACCTTTTACCTTTAAACACAGGAGACCTAAAAAGAGATGTTGAATTCCCTCTCTCCCCAAGCTATGTCCCAAAACTTTGTTTGCGTTTAGATAAGGAATCTGAACTTCTCTTAGAGCTTTCATTGGCAACGTTTTTCATTTGCAGAGCCAGGTATAGCTATTAATAACAGTCAGATGAGCAAAGGTTTCCTGGGCTTGCCACACACATAGAAAGAGAGAGCCAGGTGATCTCCAGAGGTGACAGGTTGGCCAGGCTGAAAAACAACATCCAATAGTTGGATTTATATAGGACGGGATGGGCAACTTTAGTGGGCCAGGATGCTAAGATTTCTCCCCCAGCTTCTGGTACAGATCCACCAGAGACAGAAATGGCCCCAAACAATATGAAAACTGGATACCCAGTTCTCCTTTTTAATGGTTCTTTTTATTTAAAACTTGATCTGCAGAGGTCTGAATCCTCCACGTGAAGTCTGCTGCTGCTCCAGGAGCAAGCTAGATAGATGAGCCCTGATCCAGCACTGTCAGTAGATGGGGAGCCTTTCGGAACCAGGTGGCCAGGTCAGAAGCCCTAGTGTGGTTTAAAAATGGTCCCAATGTGCTCTTTTAAAAACTGCACTGGGACTGACAACATGTAAAACAACCAAAGTTGCAATGAAGTGACTTCAGTTCTTCCTGAAAGTGTGGTTGCAGCCAATGAAACTTTTCTGGAATGTCCTGCAGCAATTTTCCTCTCTACTCAGGTGTAATGCAAAGGGAAATGGGTGTTGACTAGCAGGGCCTCAGATGGAGCACTGCAGCTTCTCATCTAAGTGTTTCCCCCTCTATCCTTTGGAGACGCAATACTTTTCAGGATATTCTCAGCTCTGACCTACTACAGCCGTGATGGAAAGCAGTTCCTCTGCCAGGACTAGGGGTGACTGCGAATCATTTCCCCTTTTGCCAAAAGACAGAAATCTGGCTGACACCATGAACATTCACCTTTAGGACCTGGCTGGCTGGCGGTGGTGCTTATTCTGGGCTCTGTTTGTCATTCTCTTAATCTTGTTCATTGCTTAATGAACTGATAATGTCCATTCTTTAGCCCAGAGAGAACCTGTGAGGTATAGTGGTTAGAGTACTGGATTGAAGCATGGAAAATCCAGGTTCAGGACTGACCAATACATAATGAGGCCCATGGGCTTGTTGTAAAGATAAAGTGGGGAAAAGGTGACCCATGTACACTGCCTTGAACTCATGGGAATATAAGTGTAGCTAGTGAAGAAAATGTATTGTCATGTTTGCTTAGCTTCAAAAGACCTCAACAAATTACAGTATAGGGGAATAGACAAGATTCCCATAATCCCAGCCTATTCCTTCCAGTTTGGACTGTAGCCTGAACACTGAAAACCTTGTCCCCATCTTCTATAGATAATTTTTCTAGAAATTACATATATATATTTTTACAATGACAGTGAGATAGGGGACAGATCAAGGTACTGAGATTACTACTACTACTACTACTACTACTACTACTACTACTACTACTACTACTACTACTACTACTAAGAAGAAGAAGAAGAAGAAGAAGAAGAAGAAGAAGAAGAAGAAGAAGAAGAAGAAGAAGAAGAAGAAGAAGAAGAAGAAGAATTGAGGACTGGAAATGAACTATCCCTGGAACAGTTCAGTACACCTTGTTGGATTCTGTTGACCAGTTTCATGGTTCTTTGTTTCAATTTCATCATCTGTAAATCAAACAAGAAAATAATGTTTATCTGTGCTTCACAAAGCTTTCCTCATTAATGTTCACACAGTTCTGTGAAGGGATAAAGCTCTCTATGAAGGACATAAAAGGGAAAAGTTAGAAATGGTGGGCATGAAGATTGCAACAAGCTTTTAAGATGATCTGAGATAAAATGGGAAGATGTGGTAGTGTTTCTCTTTGCTGCTTTGATGGTAACATATTGGTGTTGGGTAAGTTGAAATGTTTTTCTCTTTTTGCTTTGCTTTGCTATGAATCAGTCACAGAGACAATCAGAATTTATGCAACTGTAAGACAGTGGATGTAACTAGATACTTGGGTGGGAAGCTTCTGACTGTTAGACTACAGGTCCCATGATCCTTGACCACTGACCACGGGGTGCTTGGTAACTGATTGCAGCCTGCATCCAAAAACATCTGAAAGCCATTGATCATATCTGGAAGATAAAGGATCTGCAGAACTCTATAGCGTGGTCAACAGAGTAAGATGGCGACAGCAATATCTGCTTGCTTCAACAATATGGAAAATGCAGCTAGATTTCCCCTGAATATGGAGATTTATGTTTGACCATCATAGCCATACATTGTCTGCTATCATTTGTCTCACTTTCTTTTTAAAAAGGACCATCTGAGCTAGCCACCATCACTACATCTTCTGGTTATTAATAATAAGCATGTGTTATGTGAAGTAACAAATATCTTGGAACTGCAGAACTGGAAGGGACCCTACAGATCATCAAGTCCATCCCCTGTCAAGGAACCAACCTCTGGTCTCACAACCAGATACCTAAACCCACTAAGCTATCCAACAGTTCATAGCATTTTCTTTTGCCTGAGTTGTTACAAAGATGTAATATCGCAACTGATCTCCACTACTGCTTAAGGCAAACCTATTCCAGGGAAATCTTTCCTCCGTTTCTTGTTTGTTTGTTTGTTTTGATGTTAGCTCTACTGTGGAACAGTAGGCAACCTATTCCAGGGAAATCTTTCCTCCGTTTTTTTTTTATGTTAGCTCTACTGTGGAACACTAGGCTAGTGTGCATGCTCTCTTAGGCAAGTGTGCATATCAGTGCCTCCTAAAGTCCTATTCCAGGGAAATCTTTCCTCCGTTTTTTTTTTATGTTAGCTCTACTGTGGAACACTAGGCTAGTGTGCATGCTCTCTTAGGCAAGTGTGCATATCAGTGCCTCCTAAGGTTTTATTTAGGTAAAGGTAAAGGTTCCCCTTGACATTTAGTCTAGTCGTGTCCAACTCTAGGGTGTGGTGCTCATCCCCGTTTCCAGGCCGTAGAGCCAGCATTTGTCTGAAGACAATTTCTGTGGTCACGTGACCAGCGCGACTAGACACAGAATGCCGTTACCTTCCCACCATGGTGGTACTTATTTATCTACTTGCATTTACATGCTTTCAAACTGCTAGGTTGGCAGGAGCTTGGACAAGCGATAGGAGCTCACTCATCTTACGACTGCTGGTCTTCTGACCCTGCAGCACAGAGGCTTCTGCGGTTTAACCTACAGTGCCACCATGTCCCTAAATAAAAGTTTTATTTACAGAGGATAAATTCATCAATATTACATTGGATCATTTAAGTTTTCTTGACTGAGATTATGGCTTTGGAGCAGAGAACAGGCAGAGTATTTTGTCGGGCTGTGCTTTAAAAATAACAATGTGGGAAGCAGGAAATATTACACCCACACTCATACTCATAGATGTTCACAGGGTTAAAATGTACTCTTTCAAATACAACTCGTGCTTTGGGCTTATTTTGTTTTTCTGCAATAAACGGATAACAAATGAGGCCAAAGGCAGAGAGGCACCCAGTAGAGATCCCTTCAGAGAAGGAGTTTGGGTTTGAAGGAGAATTGAGGTACTGTTCCAAGTGAATTAGTGCACGTCCAGTGATGTTTGCAACAAGTAGAGTGGCTTTTAAAATCTTGGAGATTCCTGAAGAAAATGCAATTACGAGGCAGTAACAGTAGCTACTCTGGGAGAAACACAGAATACTGAAGATTTGGGCCGGGTCAGTATTTACAGATTCTTTCTTAACCACCTCTTATTCTTGTTCTTACTTCTTTAATTGCAATTTGATAATATTGATCTTTGGAAATCTGTTTGCTGACTTCTGTACTACGACCTGTTGAAAAGGCACAGGGAGCAGAGGACTTTGCCTGCTCAACTGCCAGCTTTAGCTAAGGTTGTAGTTTTGCCAAAATGCATTTGACCAAATGCTGATCATGTTGCAATCTTGTGCTCCCTTATTTGGGCTGAAAATTCCTTCACCTCAATAGGTTTTACTTGAGAGTAAAGATAAAAGATATATGAGCATGCCCTAATATTTCTGTCTTCAAATGCATCATTTGAAAATATTGGCAAGGCAATATGGGAATCTTTTTATTATCAGCTCTCTCTCTCTCTCTTTTTCATCACCAAAGATTTTCAATTTGCTTGACATGTAGGAAATGCAAAAGCCTGTTAACTGTTACTTAAAAGGACTGGGTAAAAAGAAAGCCACAGAAAAACATTCCCAATGCAAGCGATAACAGTGTCAGAATAAGTAAACAAAAGAGTAATGCTAAAGCAAGATGAAGTTGGAGGTGTGTTTTTAATTGTAAATTGTCCCCTTTGTTTGCATGCCCCAGTGTCCCAGTAAATGAAATAAATATGATCAAAATGGGGGAAAAGTTTAATTCACACACCTTCCCGGGCTTTTTGGTGTCAAAGCAGAGCTTGCAAAATCATTTTCAGAAAAATATATGGCACCGTAATTTTATTCGAACCAAACAGCACCAAAAGCAATGCAAACAGAGAGCTCTGGATGTGCTCCTAATGCATTTTTTGGGTAGATTTAATTTTACTTTTCACATGCTTTATTGTTAATTTGAGTGTCTTTGGGGAAAGGGAGGAATGGGTGTAAGTTTTGTTGAAAATGATAGTATATAAATAAAAAATGTAACCACAAGAGCTGGGAGGCACACTTCCACTTTCTATGGGCCAATGGGCAGGATAACAAGCAACCTTCCTCTCCATGTCCTCTTCTTTATTTCCCAGCAACCAGTTTAAAGAGATACATTGCCTGCAAACATGGAGGCTCCATTTAATGTCAATAGTTGGCCTTGCTGATAGAACAGGGATAGGGGGCATGTGACCCTCCAGATGTTGCTGGACTTCAGTTCTTTCCCTCCCTCACCATTTTCTGTGCCATCTAGGGCAGATGGGAATTGCACTATGGCCACATCCAGAGAGCCATATATTCTCCACAACCATGATATGTGTATCCTCAATACATATGTTTGACCCCCTTCTAAATCCATGTAAACTAATGTGGAATTATTTGTTTTATGTATTCTCAAAGGCTTTCACGGCCAGGATTCGATGGTGGTTGTAGATTTTTCAGGCTGTTTGGCCGTGTTCTTAAGGTTTTTCTTCCTAATGTTTCTCCAGTCTCTGTGATCGACATCCATCAATCACAGTGACATCAATCATCTCTCACTCTTATCACAACAATACACCCACAACAAAAACACACTGATCACCATAATCACCCAATCTCATGAAAAGGACAAAAAGCTGTCCACACAGCTATAAATACTCAACTATTCCGCAAACTACACCAGAGCACAGACAGAGTTCTGACTCCTGTCCTCTAAAGATACCGGTCACAGAGACTGGTGAAACGTTACGAAGAAAAACCTTAAGAACATGGCCAAACAGCTTGAAAAACCTACAACAACCAATTATTTATTTGTTTGTCCCGTTGCCGCCCAAACTGAGCTCAATGCAGAATTTCCATAACCATGAGTGATGCTTAGCAGGTATTTCAGAGAATGTGATTGTTAACCTCAGTGGAATAAATCTGTTGCTCCTCACTGGAGTAGAAATGGTTAAGGGAACAAGAACTGCTGGGAATGCTGGCTGTTTGCTAAAATATATCAGGACCCTGCAGGAGATGCTTGGCTTTATTTTTGTTTACTCCTACACAGCTATAAAAACAATGGTGGGATGACAGAAAAAGTTATTTTGTCCCCACACTTCTCTGTGAGAATGGAAAGAACTCCTCCCAGCGTCCTGTTATTTTTCACCTCCTAAAATGAAGGTCACAAAGTTCGTAAGGGAAAGGTGACACCAATTTGGGAACATCTGAAACACACGCTGCTCCTTATAATTTTATGGAATGACTCCACTCAGCCATTGCAGAGTTTTCGAAATTTGCTCTTGCCTTCTGGCTCCATCATGCTAGTAGAAAGACTTTAGGCAGATTGATTAGGTTATTGTCATTACAGGTGTTTTCTAGCTTCCTGTCAAGGTACGGACCCCATCCCTGGCGGGCAGGGTCAAGATATTGTCATTACAGGTGTTTTCTGAGCTACCTGTCAAGGCATTTGGGATAAATGTAGACACCTATGAAGGCAGGTGTGTGCAGAATGTGAAAGGGACAAGATAGCTACTTCTGCCTACTTACTTTTCTGAGTAACAGGGTGTAACAAAGTTACATTTCAAAATAATGTAATGAATAGGAAAAATTATTAGTAACTAGTTAAGAACAACTTTTCTAGTTACTTTCAAAAAGTTATGTTTAAAAGTCATTTTAAAGATTTTAAAGGTATTTTTAATTAATTAAATTATTAAACTTGTATACCACAGAAGTAGCAATTCGCCTCCCAAAATCTGAAGGGGTGTTAGGTAGCGCTCAACATTTTGTACATTCTTTCCAACAGACATTGGTCTAACAAGAAGGCATTCCTAGTACCAATCTGTGGAGCCCGTAACATTGTATTAACTCATTCCTGTAGGACATCTTTAACTCTTGGGTAAGTTTTTCTTTCTCATATTTCTGAGCGGTTGACAAATTTGGCAAGTACTTGACACAAACAGCAGTCTTGGGAGATTTGAGGAAAGGGTTTAATATTTACAATGAAGAGCAAACTATTTGGGGTTTCTCTTGCATGGGTGACATACAAGATTCAATCAGTTGTTCAAATGTGATGAACAGAAGACTCAGCAGAATGAAGGAGTCCTTTGAATGCTTAAAGACTGACACATTGTTTTGTAACATAGCTTTTGCTGTGCAGGTCCATGATTCCTGATCACAGTGGATTAAAGTTACCTTTTTGAATTATAGCTCCTGAAATACTTTTCTGTGTTTAGCTCATTAGAGGAGGAGATTTATGATGGTAATGATGATAATGGTGTCTGTGTTATAGTACAACCAAGTTCTAAGCAACTTCAGTTGGACACCCTGCTGTCAATCACATATTCAGTGAATTGTCTGTAACATTTGATACATGACCTCTGCAAACCAGAGGTAGACATAATGAGATTAGGTGGACAAACGGCATCACCCAGCATACAACAGTCTCATATGTGGATCAACAGCTATCATATCACTAGGAAATGAAACAGAAAATAAAGATGACTGATCTTCACATACTTTATAAAACAGATCGACAAAAAGATATGCCACATAATACATTTACTAGTCTTCTGCATGTCATATGACCCTCTTGTTTTCCTGCAAGAGACTAATCCAGCTAGTAGTTCCAGAACCCATCACAGAGCTTAATCTGAAAGAGAACTGATGAGTAAAGTCCCAGTGGTAATGGCTGAGGTGTCAAGTATACATTAAGCCCACCGATCAGTGAAGATCAAGCAAAGATCAAAGGAGACACAAGAATTGTTTTAACTTGCTAGACTTTCCCCCCAGATTTTATCAGGAGATCATTCCGAGAGGGCAATAAATAATGTCTGAAGCAAAACAAAGAACATTTTTTTCTCTTTTTTTACTGTGGTGGTACCTATATATACTCGCATTTTGCATTTTGCATTCTTTCGAATCACTAGGTTGACAGGAGCTGGGGCTCACTCCTATGCATGGATTCGATCTTACGACTGCTGGTCTTCTGACCTTGCAGCACAGAGGCTTCTGAGGTTTAACCTATGGGTGACATACAAGATTCAATCAGTTGTTCAAATGTGATGAACAGAAGACTCAGCAGAATGAAGGAGTCCTTTGAATGCTTAAAGACTGACACATTGTTTTGTAACATAGCTTTTGCTGTGCAGGTCCATGATTCCTGATCACAGTGGATTAAAGTTACCTTTTTGAATTATAGCTCCTGAAATACTTTTCTGTGTTTAGCTCATTAGAGGAGGAGATTTATGATGGTAATGATGATAATGGTGTCTGTGTTATAGTACAACCAAGTTCTAAGCAACTTCAGTTGGACACCCTGCTGTCAATCACATATTCAGTGAATTGTCTGTAACATTTGATACATGACCTCTGCAAACCAGAGGTAGACATAATGAGATTAGGTGGACAAACGGCATCACCCAGCATACAACAGTCTCATATGTGGATCAACAGCTATCATATCACTAGGAAATGAAACAGAAAATAAAGATGACTGATCTTCACATACTTTATAAAACAGATCGACAAAAAGATATGCCACATAATACATTTACTAGTCTTCTGCATGTCATATGACCCTCTTGTTTTCCTGCAAGAGACTAATCCAGATAGTAGTTCCAGAACCCATCACAGAGCTTAATCTGAAAGAGAACTGATGAGTAAAGTCCCAGTGGTAATGGCTGAGGTGTCAAGTATACATTAAGCCCACCGATCAGTGAAGATCAAGCAAAGATCAAAGGAGACACGAGAATTGTTTTAACTTGCTAGACTTTTCCCCCAGATTTGATCAGGAGATCGTTCCGAGAGGGTAATAAACATGGTCTGAAGCAAAACAAAGAACATTTTTTCTCTTTTTTTACCGTGGTGGTACCTATTTATATACTCGCATTTTGCATTTTGCATTCTTTCAAATCGCTAGGTTGACAGGAGCTGGGGCTCACTCCAATGCATGGATTCGATCTTACGACTGCTGGTCTTCTGACCTTGCAGCACAGAGGCTTCTGAGCGCTGCCACATCCCCTAAGTGGGTCTGGTAGCTACCATTAAGAATTTCCCACAGTGCCCCCAATGAAGCATGTCTGGGGCATTATGCAAAGTTTAAAATGGAGGCTAGTTGACAACCACCATGTACACTAGTTTACGGTTAACGGTAACATTGTCCTTTAAGCCGAGTCCCTGCACACTCGTACAGCTCTGCACTGGTCCTATGCAACTGAGGCCCAACCCTGCACAAGCAGGGCAGGGCACTCACAAGGGCCTTTTAACATAAGAAAAGGCACATCACGGGGTATTTTTTTGTGTGGCTCTTCAAATCTAGAGCCTGAGTGTGACTCTGTGACTCTGTTCACATAAATCAAAATTAAGACACAATAAATTTCATTTATTCTAGTGACATGGTTAAGCCCATATGCTGTCCCTTTTATATCAGCGGAATCTAAGAAAACATATTTTTGTCCGGATTTTACCAACAGATCTTTTGCTGGTGCAGTCTGGTATCTTTTCTGTTTCACCTTTTCTTCCTCAGAATTTGCCACAGAAGATGGAAAGCAGTGTCTTTTGGTTCTGTCGAATGCTAAGAAGCCGAGGTGACATGTATAGAAAAATATATATGTAAATTTACATAACCTTTTAAAAAATGTCTCCTGATTCTTCCAGCAAAAGTACAGTGTTAGGCTGAAAGAAATGTGAGCCAACGAACAACACAGTGTGTGAACAAAAACCAGCTTTGTAAATATTTCTTTTATTCAAAACACATGCAGAAAATAATTAAGTACAGATGCCAGGATTAACATACTTGCATTTTAATCTGTTACAGAAAGGAATTCAGCTCAAACACCAGGATAATTTACCTTCCCAGTGTACTGTGTTATGTTAGAGATAAGTGAAAATATTTTTCCCAGATAATGAAAAACAAAAAACTTAACTGGGTTGCACATTTTTGAAATTCAGTGTGTCTAGTGATTCATTTCTAAAGATTTCTGGATGAGTGAAATAAAAATCTAAATTTTAGTCCCAACTAATTGTCAGGACCACCGAACAAAAGGGAATTGTTAATTCAACACCCATGCAAAAACCATAGATTCAATAGGTCTACTCAATTTGGGGACTAATATTTAGATTTAGACTTATCGTCTAAATGTAGCAACTCTGGTGCTCACATCATTTTATTGAACTCAACTCTTCTACAGAGATTTCCATATTCTGGACAAACTGTGATAAAAGTGTTATGCATCTATATGCAATTTTCTGTCCATTCATCTTGAACCAACAATCACTCCCAGGTTTAGACGTTCAGCTTGATGAACAAAATGTTTTCCTACTTGCAAAGTCTTCCTTGCTCAGTTCAGCAGAAGAGGCAACTGTGTGTATTGAAGGACCGCGTATGAGCTGCCCGATCTATTTCTGTAAAGGGGTGGCAGAAACCCTTGTAGTTGTGCATGTTCTATATTTGTATTTACACATGAGGAGCAACCACTGGGACACGAAAATTTCTTGGTGTGCTTGCATGGTGCACAAACCTAAGTATAAGTACCTATCAATATATGGGTCTACCTTATTGGTCCGTCTAGTTCCTGACTCTCAATTCTGATCAGAACTTCTAATGCAACTCCCAGAGCCACCACCCCAGTCAGCAAGAGGAATGCTGGGAAATGTCGTTTGTTTGTTTTTAAAGCAAAGTGTGCTGCTTATAGACTGCCCCATAGCATTCAAAGCACTCGCTGTTTGGTTTACAATTTTATTATGCAGGCTAAACATTGTCTTTGCACATGAGGAGCAGCCACTGGGACATGCTCCTTACTTGGTGTACTTGCATAATGCACAGACCTAAGTATGAGTACCCCACCCCAGTAAGCTGGGTACTCAATTTGCTGACCTCAGAGGAATGGAAGACTGAATGAACCTTGAGCCAGCTACCTGGGACTGAAACCAGGTCGTGAGCAGAAATAACTTTTCCAGGCTGTACTCTGATTGGCAGAGATCCTCCAAAGTCTTGGGCAAATAAATAAAGACAGACAGGCAAGAATGCAGAGGGGAGATTTACATCGGAAAGTACCCAGAACCTTCTTGGACAAGGAGAAGCCCCACTGAAATTAGACCTCAGAGGAATGGAAGACTGAATGAACCCCCACTGAAATTATCAGGGCCAATCTTCAGCATGTATAACAGCAAGGCAATGATTGTGAGTGTACCATAAGTTGGATTTATCACTCCAGACTTCACAAATAAGAGCATAATAATTATGTGCCATCCAGCCTACAGCACCCTTCCTAGGGGTTTAGTGATATATGGTATTCAGAAGTGCTTTAGCAGTGTCCCTCATAGTGGTGTTCTGGGACTGTGCAACGTACCCCAGGCCACATGGGTAGCAGGGTATGTAAACCCTAGTGCACACCTACACGGTCTGGATCATCCTGGGTGGCCTTTCTCCCAGGAGGGACAGTGAGGAATGGAATGCTCACACCTGTAGCCAGGTACTCCAACCCACTGAGCTATTCCAGCACCTATAAATACATTGACGCTTATATTTACATATACTAATTTGTATGTGATATCCAGTGTGATGTAGTGAGTAATGGACCAGCACTCAGGAGGCCTTGGTTTTGATATCTCCTCTCTGCCATGCATTGGAGATGTGGAACTGGTAAAACCACTTACCTTGAAAGCCTTACTGAGGTCACTATAAGTTGGTTTTGACCTGAAGGCAAATGACAACTTTCGTATGTATAGATGCAAGTGTATAAATAGTTATTATAATATAAATGCAGTGCACATGAAGAATCATGTTGGTTCATCTCAATGGCCTGTCCAGCCCAATTGTCCCTTCCAGTGGTGTCCAGTTAGATGCCACTTGGGAAGGTCACAACCAGCACACGCACATAAGAAAACTTGCTGACT